GGTGGACGGCTGCCAAGGGTCTGGCAGCTGCACATATTTGAAGAGCGCCGCGGCCCCACCTACCGAGTGCGTTTTTACCCATCGGTCCCAGTTGACTATCTTCAGCTGGGTCGCCTGCTTGTGCAGGCGCTCGGCAGTGTCGCTGGCGACGGTGGCGAAATAGTCCATAACTACGTAGTCGAAGACGCAGAAACGATCCAGGGCCTCCAGGAAACAAACCGCGAGCTTCGAATCAGGAACATCAGGCGAACTCTGAAGATGACGGATCCTGCAAAGTACCTGCTTAGTCTGGGCAGTGCTGATGGGCCTCGTGAGGGTCTTGAGGACCTGGGCCAAGGCTCTCCACCACACAGCTTGAGGGCTCAGACGCGGAAAGGGGACTGGAGCAGGCCGGCTCGGTCGATACCACCCAACTCGAACATCACCACCGCGCCCAAGGTAAGGCTTCGAAAGTTCAGGAGGAATCTGAAACACCTCTAACCATTCAAGTTCAGCAGCCGAAACAAAACCTTGCCACGACTTAGATATGCTGGCATTGCTCATCATCTCCGACGCCACCTCCCACCTGGCCACGTTGGGCTCTCCACGGCAACCTATGGGCAACTCCCTGGGGAACCTGCGGGGAACCTTGGCCATGCGCAACGAAGGGACAGTGTCCAAGGTGGGTAGCTTCAACTTTACTGGAATATGCGGGGTAATCGCCACTTCAGCCAGCAATGAAACCGAGGCGTTCGCCGCAAACGCCTGGGAGACAACGAAAAAATCGATGGTCCTGTGTGCTGGCGCACATGTTCCAGCATCAGTGTATATGGCAACGCCGTCAATCGCATCAACCCAGCCTGAATGCTGGAGCACGTCAGGCTCGAGATTAAAGTCCCCGAAGATGAGGAAAGGCATGTTGGCCATTTTCAGCAACGCGCCTAGCCTGCAGAGAAGATCCCAGTTGGCAGGCGCAAGTCCGACAGAATGATGCAGATAGAGCGTGCACGCAAGGAAACCCCCTGGTACGAGACCTCCCACATGCATCACCATCATCCTCCCCACCTGCACGTCGATCGGAAAGCTCTCAATCGGCGCCAAGCCGATGTGCTTTGGCACGGCGAGCATCGTGCCAGCAGAAATACCGCCTCCAGCCGTCTGACGGGCTGGCGAAAGTTTGGCTCTCCACCCTTGCCGCCTGAGTTTATGCTCACAAGCTTCAACCTCCAACACCCGCGTTTCCTGCACACCGACAAGATGAGCCTGGAGCACAGAGGGGGAGGAGAGGAAAATGTCAAGCCCAGAGCGATCAGTGACATTGGCAGAGATAATATTCCAAAACTTCGGGGCCTTAGGCCCCAGGGCGCATCTATCCGCAAGTCTAAACGCGCTTCCGTTTGTAATCGGCCCCGGCCTCATCGAGCGCAGCCTCCAGCTGCGATCGAGTGATACCGCCCTCACCTGCAGAGCTGACGAGCTTGTCCAACCAGTCGCCCTGCTTGAGGTTGCCGATGGCCGCGTCCATGTCAAGGTCGTGATCGCCTGCAGCAGCGCTAGGCTCAGCAGCAGCGCCACCAGCAGCATCACGTTCATGTTGAGCACGCTCTGTCGCCTCAGCACGGGCTTTGGCAGCAGCCGCTTCCTCCTCGTCCTTCTTAGCCTTCTGGCGGGCCTCCGCGACCTGCTTGATCGAGTCGACCACGCCCGCCTCGACACCCAGCTCCCGCAGCTGTTCCACAAGGTAAGCAGCAGGGTCAGCAGGCTGAGGCCTGGAAGCTCGCCCGAGCTCGGTGAAGGCGCTGGCAGCGGCGCGGGCCGCCTCGAGCTCCTTGGCCTCAAGCTCCACGTACTTCGCCTTGAGCTCTGCAGTCTTCTGCAGCTGCTTGGCCAGCACCTCCTGAGCCTTCTCCCAGGCGTTCTTGGCCTTGGCGACCTGATCCTTGAGCGTGTCATGCTGCTGCTTGGCCTGGCGACTGAGGGCCAGAGGGTCGCCCGTCTGCACGGCACGCAGCCCCAGCAGGTGCGCCTTCTGACCAGGCGAGAGCCAGATGCTGCAGGCCTCGAAGTGCTCGGCAGACATGGCAAGCATGGCGTCCCTGCGCTCGGGGGTAAGCTTGCCGCCGACTGCACCAGGCCCTTGTCCAGCACCAGGTGAGCCTCCCTGAGGCTGCAGCCGAGGAGGACGTACCCAAGCGCCAGCAGGAGGGCGCGGCACCGAAGGTACGGGGCCCGCACCTTTGGGCTTGCCACACGCCCAGCACGTTGTACGCCAAGGAAAGTTGTTGTCGAAACCGCATTTCTTGTTACAGCACGTCCAGGTAGCGCTGAACGCCTGCTGCCTGCCGCCGCCATTGCGCCCCATGGGAACAGACGGCCGCAGAGCTTACCGTAGCCAGATGTGATGGCTGTGAGTGAAAGAGAAAAGGAGATGCCCTGGCTTGGCAGCCACCTGTGGGTCAACTCCGCGCAGCGTCGGGCGCCCCCTCGCGTGCGGGGGAGTCCGCAGATGTTACTTGAGCCAAAATGGCTTGAGCCAAAATGGCTACGGATCTCCTCCTCCTCCTCCTCCTCCTCCTCCTCCTCCTCCTCCTCCTCCTCCTCCTCCGCCTCCTCCTCCTCCCCCTCTTCCGCCTCCTCCGCCTCCTCCTGCGCCTCCACCTGCTCCTCCACCTTTTCCTCCTCCTCCTCCTCCTCCTCCTCCTCCTCCTCCTCCTCCTCCTCCTCCTCCTACTCCTCCTCCGCCTCCGTCTCCCCTTCCTCATCCTCCTCCTCCCCATCGTCCTCACCCTCCTTATCCTCCTCATCTTCCTCGTCCTCGGCATCCTTGTCATCATCCTCATCATCAGCATCATCAACATCAGCATCAGCATCAGCATCAACATCATCATCATCATCAGCATCATCATCATCATCATCATCATCATCATCATCATCATCATCATCATCATCATCATCATCATCAGTATCATCAGCAGCATCACCATCATCGTCATCATCAGCCGCAGCGGCATCATCAGCATCGTCAGCCTCACCGTCATCATTAGCATCAGTATAATCAGCAGCAGCATCAGCATCATCATCAGCAACAGCACCAGCATCACCAACACCATCATCATCATCATCATCATCAGCAGCAGCAGCAGCAGCGGCATCATCATCATCATCATCATCATCATCAGCAGCAGCAGCAGCAGCAGCATCAACATCATCACCAGCATCTGCATCAAGATCATCAACCGCAGCATCAGCATCATCATCAGAATCCGCATCCCCATGTTCATCATCATCATCATCATCATCATCATCAGCAGCAGCAGCATCATCATCATCATAATCATCATCCTCATGTTCAGCAGCCTCATCAGCCGCATCATCAGCATCATCAGCATCAGTACCATCATCATCATTAGCAACATCAGCATCATCATCGTCGTCAGCAACAGCATCGCCATCATCATCAGTATCACCATCATCATCATCGTCATCATCATCAGCAGCATCATCAGCATCGTCATCATCAGCAGCAGCATCACCATCGTCATCAGCAGCATCAGCATCACCAACACCAAGCAGAGCATCAGCATCCGCATACTCATCATCAGCAATCTCGCCATCGTCATCATCATCATCATCACCATCATCATCAGCATCATCATCATCATCATCATCATCATCCGCAGCAGCAGCAGCGACAGCATCGGCATGGTCATCAGCACCATCATCCGCAACATCAGCACTACAAGCATCATCATCACATCATCATCATCATCATCATCATCATCATCATCATCATCATCATCATCAGCATCCGCCTCGTCAACATCTTCAGCATGATCAGCAGCATCATCAGCCGCATCATCAGCATCAGCATCAACACCAGCATCATCAGCAGTATCATCAGCGTCAGCAGCATCATCATCAGCAGCATCGTCATCCTGATCACCATCAGCAACACCATCATCATCGTCAGCGTCAGCATCATCATCAGCATCAGCATCATCAGTGTCATCATCAGCATCAGCAGCATCATCATCATCATCATCACCATCATCATCAGCAGCATCATCATCGTCAACATCCGCATCGTCAGCAGCATCAACATCATCAGTATCATCATCATCATAATCATCATCATCATCATCAGCATCATCATCTGCATTAGCATCAATACCATCAGCATCATCACCAGCATCATCATCAGCAGCATCAGCATCATCATCACCATCATCCGCATCATCAGCAGCAGCAGTACCAGCATTATCATCATCATCATCAGCAGCATCATCAGCATGATCAGCATCATCAGCATAATCAGCATCATCATGATCACTATCATCATCATCATCATCATCATCATCATCATCATCAGCATCGTCAGCATCATCATCATCATCAGCATCGTCGTCATCATCATCAGCATCAACATCAGACTCATCATTATCAGCATCATATCATCATCATCATCAGCATAATCATCATCACCATCATCACCATCATCATCATCATCATCATCATCATCATCATCATCATCTGCATCATCATCAATACCATCATCAGCATCATCATCATCATCACCAGCATCATCATCATCATCATCAGCATCATCATCAGCATCAGCATCAACATCATCATCAGCATCACCATCATCATCAGCAGCATCAGCATCAGCATCAGCATCATCAGCATCATCATCATCATCATCATCATCATCATCATCATCATCATCATCATCATCATCATCATCATCATCATCATCATCGCGTCTCACCCCACCACCTCCTCATCTTCCTCCTTCTCCTCTTCCTCCTCCTCCTCCTCCTCCCTTCCCTCCTCCTCCGCCTCCTCCTCCTACATCTCCTCCTCCTCATCCCCCTCCTGCTCCTGTTCCTGCTCCTCCTCCTCCTCCCCCTCTTCCTCCTCCTCCTCCTTCTCTCCCCCTCCTCCTCCTCCTCCTCCTCATCCTCCTCCTCCTCTCCCTGACCGCGTCTCACTCCTTCTCCTCGGGGGGGGGGGGGGGGGGGGGCGGGATCAGGAGTGGAAGATGGGAGGGGGCGGGGGGAAGGGGGTGAAACGAAGAGAGAGAGTAGACGGTGGAGCAATGGAACGGTGGGGTGAGCACGTATTGATGTGTGAGCTATCTGTTGTATAATAGTGTGCCCTATGGTGCATCTGGCGTTCAATCATGGGCCGTTGCTGTCTTTGGTTTGTTTGGTGGTTCCTGTTTTTCTGGTTTCCCCCCCACCCCCGCCCACGTGAGCATCGATGGGCCATTCATTCACAAAGGGGATATATGTGTAACGCCCTCAAATAAGAAATGAATGTGTACATCCTTCATAGAAGGAGTGCAAGGAGGAGAATGGGACTTGGGAGGATGAGGAGAATGAGGAGCAGAGGGGAGGATGAGGATAATGATGGGGGAGTGACTCCTCAACCTCCCCCCTCCTCTGGAATTCCTTTAGAATGGGGAAGCGACGGAAGAGGCGAAGGAGGAGACGAGGGAAGAGGAGTAGGAGGAGGACGAGGAGGAGACGAAGGAGCAGGAGGACAAGGACGAGAAGGATGAAGCAGGCCCTCGATGGCGATGGGGAGGGGAGGAGCTGGGAAGGAGGGCGAGGAGGACAAAAAATCAGTTGCCAAGCATACCCATATTAGTGCAACATACAAGGCATTATTCTTCAGGACCTGCCACAACCAACCACACGGGGCAGGCCGACGCTGTCACGAACGACACCTCTGTTTCCGACTGTGCGAAAACACCACGCGAGACTCTCTTGAATGCAAATATACACTGCGTCTGGTTGTATTCTGGGACTCCTTCGTACACATCAAAATTGCCAGATGATGTCAAGCCAGGCTCTGAGAACCTGCTGTTTCGGCCTTCAAAGAAGGGAGGAAGCAACTCAAAAAGAAGGAAGAGGAGGAGAAGGAGGAGGAGGAGACGACCAAGAGAGAGAGAGAGAGAGGCAGCGCCACAGAAAAAAAACTCAGAAACGCAGGGGGGGGGAGTTATGCCACCCCCCCCCCCCCCACAACCACCCCTACCCTGTCCCGCCCCAAAGCCGCCCCAGAGCAGACGCCCCTGCCGTGATGAGCTTCACCGGTGGGAACGCAGCAGGTGCCCACCCGATTCTTCGACGAGTCGAGTTTTGTTGTGAGCTTCCTGGATCCCGGCCTCCGAGGGCCCCCTGTCGGGCCCCAGGGGCATTCGGAGAAGGGTCAGGGGCGGAAAGCTGCCCCCGGAGAAGGGGGTCGGGGCCTCTGGGGCCGCGGCGCGGAAAAAAAAACACCTAGAGGATCAAGAAAAGCTGCATACACATGATGTCTCAGAGGTCCGCGCGGACTTCTTCGAGCTGCGCTGGACCGCCCTCCCTGGCGCGCGGAGCGCGCCAGGGGCGGCGCTGGATACATCCTGGAGATGACAACTTACCATCGGTCGGAAGAAGTAGGTAGAACAATGAAGTAGGAAGGCGGATAAAGTAGATTGGGTTCGGGCCCGCCCAGAGAGCAACAAAACGCAGTAAAAGCATATCGGTTCTTGAAGCAGGAAGGCGCTTGAAGTAGATTGGGTTCTGGGAATCCAGAATGTCCTACCTTCAACCACCGATGGGTACCCAAAAACATCAAATCCTCGACTCCCGATCGGCGTCGCCATCGCTGGCGTCGGCGTCCGCGCCGGCGGCGCGGAGGGGCCCACGCACGCGGCGCCTCGCGCACGGCCTCCGCGCCGTCCACCAGCAGGTGGTTCGAGCTCTGCGACCGCAGCCAGGCGCGCGAGCTGTCCCCCGGGACCTGGGCCGCCGATCGCGGATCGCGCGGCCGCGCGTCGAGGACGGAGCCAAGTTTTCGTTCACGATAATTTCAGGGCCCGACCACTTTTTTGGTCGGCGGGTCGAGAGCGGGCCTCTTCCGGTTAAGAGCTAGGCGGGGCGCGCGAAGCACGAATTGGGGAGACAGGGCGCGGGCTGGCGGGGCCTCAGGCGGCCGGAGGGTGCGGAGTACAGGCGGTGCCGAAGAGCTTGCACAAGAAAAGGTACGCCTTGGACAGGAGCCGGGGGCGAGGGCCCGACCACACGAAACCTCCCCCGCGAAACCCAACCCTGAGATTGCTTCCTGGTGTGGGAGCGTGACGCTTGCCGCAGCGACACCATCGAAACCCAGGGAACCCGGGGCACCCTGGAGGCAAGCAGGGCGCTTCTTGGCATGGGCCCCCACTGTGACAGCCAGCCGTGACCGTCACCGCCCCCTCCCCTCCCGCCCCCCATTAGGGGAACAAAAAGTGACATAAACATAAAAACTCGGAGGTCAGCGCGGATTTCTCGGATCGGCGCTGGCGCTGGGGCCCCCAGCGGGAGCCCCGCGGGGCGCTGTCTCTTCAAAACGAGGACCCCACATCACAGGATGGTTAGGAGAAAACGTTCGACCAGATCGATCCAGTCGAGCCAAATCGGTCCGTCGTGCTTTTCAGTATGCCTGGATGTCAGGATTGCGTCTAGCAGAAGCAGCCGGTCGGGGAGGGTCCAGGGCTAGCCAAGACTGCGCTGCTGAGGCGCGCGCCCACAACACCTCGAACGCCCTGCGGGAGATGCACTTCCGCTCACCTCGGCAGCAAACCGCACGAGAAGGGCGAGGCCGAGGAGGGCGAGTCAGGGCGAGGCGAGGGAAGGATGAGGCGAACCACCGCTGCGCCTTCCGGTTGGAGGCGGGGGGGAAGGGAGGGAGAGGAAGAGGAAGAGGTGGAGAAAGGGAGGGAGGGGAGAGGGGAGAGGGGGGGAGGGGGAGAGGGGGAAGAGGGGGGGACGGGGAGAGGGGGAGAGGGGGGAGAGGGGAGAGGGGGAGAGGGGGAGAGCGGGAGAGGGGAGAGGGGGAGTTGGGGAGAAGAGGAGAGGGGAAGAAAGGGGGGCGGGGGGGGGCAGTGTGGTGGGGTTGCGCTTCTGGTCCTCACGCGCGCAAGGGCACCCGTCCGGGGCCTACGGACCTTGCGGCGGCCGAGGTCGCCCCGGGAGCGCCCACGAGCGCCCCAAAGCGCCCCAAGAGCACGCATCGCGTGCCAGGTCTCACGCCGCCTCAAGAAGGCCCCAAGGTGGCCCCAAGGTGGTGCCAAGGTGGCCCCCCGAGGCAGCCCAGGAGGGCCCAAGCAAGCTCACTACCACGAAGGTCTTCACTACGGTCCCTTTAAGGCTGAAGAGCCTCTCTCTGGAGGCTCGCCAGGAAGGCCGAGGCCATCGGCGAACTACCACCTCTGCGGGCTCTGGCAGGCTTCTCCAGCACGGAGGTGGCCCAGAGAAGGCCCCAATGAAGACCCCAGACCCCCTCCTCCTCCTCCTCCTCCTCCTCCTCCTCCTCCTTCCTAGATGGCCTGAAGGAGGGCTCCAAGAGAGCTCCGAGGGGGGCCCATCGCGGACCAATCGGCGCCAGGTCGTAAGACCAGGGATAAACCCAAAGACGCCCCAAGAGGGCTCGACGCTGGCCCCAAGAGGACCAAGACTTGCCCAGTGGACTGCAAGGACACCTCAAGACGGCCGAATCTGCGCCCCTCGGAGCCGCCAGAACAGGCACAGATCATTGAGAAAGCATGTCTTTGCTGCAGCGTTTGGCATCCTCACTTGCACGGGCTCCAGCGGGCGACAAGGCTTTGACCCCCGGACTCGTCCCAGGGAGCGGTCTGGCCAGAAGTTCCAGGGGAATCCAACTGCGGCGACGAGAGCATCCCAGGAAGCCGAGGACTAGACAAGCGCGTTCCACGCCTCGCAGAGGCACTACTCGCAAATGGCCTGGCTCCGCCGCGAAGGATATATGATCCATCACTTCGAGGCAGGCATGTGTCTTCTTGCTCGGACGTGTGCGAATAGGCACTCTGCGAGTAGTGGCACGCGCCCGGCCAAGGACGGCCAGAGAACCTCGATCCTCGAGCCTCTACCCTTCGAGCCCCGAGCTCGGGGGCGTCCAAGAGGGGGGCGTCCAAGAGGGGGGGGTGCAACTCATGGCCGGCGGCACGTGCGCGGCCCAGGGGAGGGGGAGGGGACAGGGACGTGCCATGAAACCGCGGGAGATACCATGGCCCCCGCCATGATATCCCCCCCACCATCACCCCTCCCTCGGCCGCCCCCGACGAGCGACGACGCCACTCGTCGGAGCGGGGCACGGGCGGCGCACCCACGTTGGGCACCCAGGCCGCGAAGGCCTCGGACTGGTCGTGCCTGCCCACCACCGCCACGCGGGCGCAGCCGCCGCCGGGCGCAACCTGTGCAGGCCAGGGAGGGAGGCGCGAAGCCTCCCCTTCGCGTCGGGGAGAGGCCCGACGGGAGGGTGCTGGCAATCTCTGCTGCCGCTGGGGGCCGCCACCGAGCTCCAGGAGCGTCAACTGAGGATCAGAGACCGTCAAAGTCCACGTCGTGAGACACATAAGCAAACAAACATACATAAACGAACACCTAGAAAAAAAGGAAGAAGATGAAAACAAACAAAAAAAACAAAAAAAATCGTCGAGAAGCGGGGAGGAAGAAGGGGGCTGGAAGGGGGGGGGACTGGGGAGCGCGGCAGCAGCAGCAGCAGCAAGGTGGACTGACGTGCGGGGCTTGTCTAGGGACTCTCAACCGCTCTTGGACATGGAAGGTGGGAGAAGAGGGAGGAGTGAGCGAGCGAGCGAGGCGCCGATCGCAGCACCTGCGGCAGGGCGCGTATGTCCGTGCCTGTTTGGGCAAGGCAGGCGAAGCCGTAGCCGCTCAAGCACTACTAGATCCATGCGCGCACGAGGTCCGCCACGGTTGAGTCGACGCCTTCAACTATATGGTGTCGTTAGCGCCGCAGTGCTAGCAACGTCGTGGAAACGTGACGTCGTTCGGGCCGTGATGTGTGTGTGTGTGTGTGTGTGTGCGTGTGTGGGTGTGGTGTGGTGTGGTGTGGTGTGGTGTGGTGTGGTGTGGTGTGGTGTGGTGTGGTGTGGTGTGGTGTGCTGGTGCTGGTGCTGGTGCTGGTGTTGGTGTTGGTGTTGGTGTTGGTGTTGGTGTTGGTGTTGGTGTTGGTGTTGGTGTTGGTGTTGGTGTTGGTGTTGGTGTTGGTGTTGGTGGTGCGCCTTGGTGTTAGTGTTGGTGTTGGTGTGTGCGGGTGTGTGGGTGTGTGTGTGCGTGTGCGTTTGTGTGCGTGTGCGTGTGCGTGTGCGTGTGCGCGTGCGTGCGCGTGCGCGTGCGCGTGTGCGTGCGCAGTGCGCGTGCGCGTGTGCGCGTGCGTGTGCGATTGCGCGTGCGCGGGCGCGTGTGCGTGCGCGTGCGCGTGCGTGTGCGCGTGCGCGTGTGCGTGTGGGTGCACGTGCGCGTGCGCGTGTGCGTGCGCGTGCGCGTGTGCGTGTGCGTGCGCGTGCGCGTGTGCGTGTGCGTGCGCGTGTGCGTGTGCGTGCGCGTGTGCGCGTGCGCGTACGGGTGTGCGCTTGCGGTGCGCGTGCGCGCGTGCGCGTGTGCGCGTGCGCGCGCGCGCGTGCGCGTGTGCGCGTGCGCGCGCGCGTGCGCGTGCGCGTGCGCGCGTGCGCGTGCGCGTGCGCGTTCGCGTGCGCGTTCGCGTGGAGCGTGCGCGGGTGCGCGTGCGCGTGCGCGGGTTGCGCGCAGGGCGCGTTGCGCGTGTGCGTGCGCAGTGCGCGTGCCGTGCGGGTTCGCGTCTGTGCGCGTGCGCGTGCGCGTGCGCGTGCGTGTGCCGATGTGCTAGTGCGTGCGCGTGCGCGTACGCGTTCGCGTGCGCGGTGCGGTCATGCGCAGCGCGTGCGCGTGCGCGTGCGCTTGCGCGTGTCTTTTTGCGTGCGTGCGTGCGTGGCGTGCCGTGCGTTGGTGCTTGCGTGCGTGCGCGCGCGCGGGCCGGGAGCGCGGGCGCGCGCGCGCGCGCGCGGGGCGGGGCGCGCGGGCGCGCGGGAGGGCGGTCGGGGCGGGCGGGCGGGCGGGTCGGGCGGGGCGGGCGGGCGGGCGGGCGGGCGTGCGGTGGCTTGCGTGCGTGCGTGCGTGCGTGCGTGCGTGTGTGCGTGCGTGCGTGCGTGCGTGGCGTGCTTGACTGCGTGCGTGTGCGTGCGTACTTGACTGCGTGCGTGCGGTGCGTGCGTGCGTGCGTGCGTGCGCGCGCGCGCGCGTGCGCGTGCGCGTGCGCGTGCGCGTGCGTGCGTGCGTGCGTGCGTGCGTGCGTGCGTGCGTGCGTGCGTGCGTGCGTGCTTGCGTGCGTGCGTGCGTGCGTGCGTGCGTGCGTGCGTGCGTGCGTTCGTGTGTGTGTGTGCGTGTGTGTTGTGTGTCGCTGCCGTCGCTTGGGCCCTCGCTGTGCAAAAATTAACGCACGTCGTCGCACCACACCTGCTGTCCGTCATGGTGTCTCCAACCCAATTGCTTGATGCTTTGGCTCTGGTTCCATTTCGACGATCTTCGTGTCCACCGCTGTCGGGTGCCAGGCTGCCTGGGCAGCCAGTTGCCATACCAATCGTTTGTGCAAGTGAACTGTACATGGTATACAGTGTCGCCGCGTGAACTCCTCTGCCCTGCGAGTGCTCTTGCGGACGATATCAAACCACAGCTCTGACTCATATTGGAGACGTCGGGGCTCTCTGCGTTGTGGGGTCTGGTTGTCGTTGACGTCGTGCGTGCTGGCGTGGGCGGATCTGAAGGTGGGTCACTGCGCACGTCACATTCGCTGGAAGAGTCTGAACAAATATGAAATGGGTCGATACTATTGTTGTTCGCGCCCGTGGTGTTTCTCGCCGGCTGCTTGACAATCGTCTGCCTTCGGGGGGTGCCGAAAACCATTCAATTCGAACTATTCGCCTCTGTGTTCTGTGGATGTCGGGACAATGTTCACGCTTCCGCGCCGTATGGCATAGTGGGCATAACCGTGACTTGGTAGAGTGGTAGCTGGTGTTTCAATGGGTAACGTCTGCTCGTTAGCGCCTGTCTGTGGGTCGAAGCATTCCTAACCAACCTGTATGCTGATCTCGGTCACACGGGCGTCGAGGAACGTAATGGCATACCCTAGATACTTGATCGTGCCATTGTAAAGCAAGACGGCGATGTTTACCCCGGATGCTTCGACAGCGCGCGTTCGACGGGGTTGGTTGCTTATGGTGTTCGTCTTGTCTGGGTGAATTTGCATGCCATGGAATTCGAATATTGCGAGTCCAACCTATGAAATGGTCTTGAGATTCGGCAGGGTCTGGCCTAGTAACAATATGTCGCTTGAAAAGCGAAAGGTTGCGAGGACAGATGTCTAAGTTTCATCAAATTGGATGCCGCGAGGTATACAATTCATCCAATTGGATGCCGTGCCTCCAGCGTCGTCACGCAGGGATGAATTGTCGGAGGGCGTACTGTAGGAAAGCGCTGAAAGGCAACAAGATTAGAAGCCACCTTGTTTTGTGCCGCGATGGAGGTCGAAAAGGCTGCTGCTGGCGCCGGCGCACACCACAGCCGCCAGGTCGCCAAGGTACCGCTGTACCCAGGGAGAGCACTTGTGTCGGGATGCCGCCTACATACCTATGTTTAACGGGCGAAGAACGGTATAACATAAACTTTTTCGCTGTCCTGGGCGCCTGTCCCAGGGCGGCTGGAAAGTTTATACCCCTACGGTGCCACCGTAAGGGTATAAACTTTCAAGCCGCCCTGGGACAGGCGCCCCGGACAGCGAAAAAGTTTATTTTATACCGTTCTTCGCTCGCTGATATGTGCCCCGCCGCATCGGATGTGTTCTTCATGCCGACAGCGGCGCTCCGAACGGGGCGGCCGCAACATGCGGCTCATTCGCGCAAGGGTCGGAAATTGGCAGATAATTACGCTCGCGCGCGCCGCGACACGGCCTGGAGCCTGCCTGGATGTCCCTCCGCGCACAGTGATGCATGTCCCACATATGAAATATATGAAGGGGAACTGGGACACACAAATAAATAAGAGATAGTCCCCATATTTTCCCATATTGTCTGGGTTTTTGCCTTCCCCCCCACTTCCCATATGTTCCCATATTTTCTGGGAATCGCCGATTAATTGTGTCTGTGTGTTCTTTCCCCTCCTGAATATATTCGGCCTGGGTGTGCGGGTTCAGGCCTCCTGCTGGTGAGAAAGCAAAAATGTGCTGCCGCCAAGCTTTCCTGCCTTTCTGCGTCTTCCGGGCTCCTGGAACCTGACGGCTGAGGAGGTCTACAAATGCGCTATCGAAGGTCGTCTGCAGGCTGGCGCGCAGGAGCCCGCTGCAAAGCCTGCAAAACACAGGCCGCGGTGCAAAATTATCGGTTATTCTGCGGGTTGCATCCCCTGTCTTGGCAACTACGGCGATGAATGTCCTCCTCAAGTCTGCTGGCGTCGGGGCGCCCGGTTGCATTTCGAGGAAAAGGGGGGGAAGGGAGAGAGGGGGGAGAGAGGGAACAGGGGGGGTGGGAAGGAAGACGGCGCGCAGAGAGACAGCGAAGGAAGGAGTCTGAATGGAGCCGTATTGCTGAAAGACGGGAAATGGCTCCCTGGTCAAGTCAGATGTACCGCAGAGCCTGCGGGTACCGTTCTTCTTCCTCCACGTCATTCTCCTCATCATCCTCCTCCTCGTCATCCTCCTCCTCGTCATCCTCCTCCTCTTCCTCTTCCTATTTCTCCCCCTCGTCCTCCTCCCCCTCCTCCTCCTCCTCCTCCTCCGCATCATCCTCCTCCTCCTCCTCCTCCTCCTTCTCTTCCTCCTTCTCCTCCTCGTCCTCCTCCTCCCCCTCTCTCGGCCTCCTCCTCCCCCTCTTCCTCATCCTCCTCCTCCTCATCATCATCCTCCTATTCCTCTTCCCTCCTCCTCTTCCTCCTCCTTCCTCCTCCTCCTCCTTCCCCTCCTCCTCCTCCTTCTCCTCCTCCTCCTCCTCCTCCTCCTCCTCCTCCTCCTCCTCCATGCCTCAACCTTTTTCCCCTCTACAGTCCTCCCTCCTCCTCCTTCTGTCTCAGCGCCACTGGCCCTACCGGGCGCATGAGAAGGGTACGTGTTTGTTTGGGTTCCCTCGCGAGGGCTCAAACGATCTCCACCACGTCGTTGGTATGCATCCCGCGACTCTTTCCGTATATCATCTGCCGTGCACAATTTGCCAATAAACATTGAAGTTGCTGTGTTCGCGCGAAGTGCGCTTGCGCAGACTGTGAATTCAAGGCGGCCTGGTACTCCTTGGCAAGATTGATCTCGGCTTTGACTGGCAAGTGAATTGCAACTCCCCGCCTAAGTCAGGCCAGCCGGTCTGGACGGAAACGCCATGCGCAGGAACATGACCAAATGGGATCTCGGCATATTCGTCGTCCCTGCCAGCGAACTTCACGTTAGCATCGGCGCATCCATGTCACTAGAACCATCGCGCGCGCTTCGCGCGCGCTCAAGTTCTAGCGAGCTTCTTGGGGCCTCCTCGGAGCATCCTGGACTGCTTCTTGAAATCGTCATGGGACCTTCTTGGCATGTCTTCGGGGGCCTCTTAGAAAGAGTTTTGAAGTTTTTTGGGTGCCGTCTTGGTGCCTCTTGGAGCCTCTTTGGGGCTTCTTGGGGGACTCTTGGGGCCTCTTGGGGGCCTCTTGGGGCCTCTTGGAGGCTTCCTAGGGGCATCGTGGGGCCTCTTGAGGGCATCTTGGGGCGGAGAGCTTGATTTTTCGGTTCGCGTTCCCTCTCTTGGGCCCCTTTGGGTGCCTTCTTGTCAATCTCTTGCGCCGTCTTGGGCGGCTCTTGGGCCGTCTCGGGGCTCTCTCGGGCCGTCTTGGGGCTCTCTTGGGGGCCTCGTGGGCCGTCTTGGAGCGGTTTGGGGAGCCTCTTGGGCGGTGCCTTAGCGCCAGAAACACGACACAGCGAGAGTGCAAAACACATTGAAACTAACCCATGAAAATCCATGCTTTTGCCCTCTCGGGGCGTTCTTGGGCGGTATCTGAAAGGCCTCTTGGGGCGTCTTTGGGGCCTCCAGGGCAGTTCAAAACACATCGTGCGGCGCCAGAGACCCCTGGACGGCGTCTTGGTCGGGAGCGGCCAAGAGGGGGGTGTCCAAGAGGGGGGGGGGGTGCAAATCATGACCGGCGGCATGTGCGCGGCCCAGCGGGGGTGCCAGGGATGTAATGAAACAAGAAGAGGCGCCATGAGATCTGAGGAAACATCATGGCCCCCGCCATGAGATCCACCTCCCCCTGGTCATCACCCCCCTCTTTGCCGCCCCCGAGTCTTGGGAGCGTCTCGAGACCGCCGGGGGCCGCCGGGATAGCTGTCCGAGGGCTCCCCGTGGCGATCCCTAGGCCTCCCAAAGAGGAGGCGGGCCCAGGCCCCCGGCCCCACGCTTGCGGTCCAGGCCCCGGCCCCCCGGCCCTCCGACCCGGTCTCCCGTTACATCCGCTCCAGCGTCCCTCCGCACCCTGCCTCCCCGTGCCGGCCTCGATCCACCCTCCAGCCCCCGTGGCCCCCCCCCCCTCTCCTCCCACCACCACCCGCCCGCACTGTGTGTCCTGCCTCCCGCCTCCTCCTCCTCCTCCTCCTCCTCCTCCTCCTCCTCCTCCTCCTCCTCCTCCTCCGCTTCCTCTTCCTCATCATCCTCCTCATCATCAGCATCATCACCATCCTGCACCTCACCCCTGTGACGAACGAGCAACACGCAAGTGCGGCAGGCGCAGCACGCACTGTGCACGACAGCAGCCAGTCCCGGCGGGCAGTCGTGAAGCAGGAAGCGGCGACAACGGCGGCCGCGGCAGCCACAGGCGCTCACGGGGGCACACGGGGCGGCCGCCATGGCGGCCACTGACCACCGACGACAGAAGTCGCGCTGCATGCGTAACCTCAGGTCGGGCGTGTCCCCCAACAGGCGGATTTTGTACGACAAAAATAATCAAACAATACTCCCAAATGGTCAAAAGTAGGCCAAAAAATCGTCCCCTGACTGTTTTGGGGGGCCATGTTTCAAAAAAATCCTCCTGTAGAGAGACGTGCCCGACTTCAGCGTGACCATGGAGGACGTAAGCGTTCGCTATTCGGGGAAGCCGAGACTCCCCGAGCGGTGCCAGCCCTCGGTGGCGGCGCTCCCCGACCGACCCCGCACGGCCCGCACGGGCCCGGGCCCCCCACCCAGCGGTGCCACTTCGCGCCAGGGGGGGCCCTCTCGCGGAGGGAACCCTCGACCACTGCTGGGGGGGGGGGGGCCCAACCATACCGAAGTGGCCGAGGCCCCCGTGGCAGTGTCAGTGTAGTTCCCCCCCGCCCAGCACAACGCTTCGTGCCCCCGCAGGGGCAACACCGAAGGCCCCAACGGCGGTGTCCGCACGCGTTCCCCCCCCCCCGGTACAGCTGTTCGTGGCCCCAGGAGCCTGCCGTGGTTTTGGTAGCGAGGGGCAGGGGCCCACCGCTCCGTCCCCTGACCGCGGGGTGGTCCGGGGCGGGGCCCGCGAGTCCGGCCTCTCGAGGCTTAAGAATGTTTTGGGGGCCTGCCGCCCTCCAAGAAGGGTGCGGGCTCTCCAGGACCCGTTTCGGGTCGGGCGAAAGGGGGGGATAGCAAAGGGGGGGTTTGAGAATCAGCTCACGTAGCTGATTTTCCTGGCGCCTCCCGGCGCCGGAGGCGCCCATGTATCGAGGAATGGGCCCCTCGGTGGGGCCGAAACCAGCTGCATGCAGCAGATTTCGTGACCCCCCCTTTCCCAATCCCCCCCTTTCGTCCGGCCCGACCGTTCGAGATTCGAGGGCCGGCTGACCTAGGTCGGCGCTGACCCAAGTCAGCTGGGGCCACGTCGCGAGCCCCGGCTCCCGAGCCCAGGTCGGCGGAGGGGCGGGAGGAGGGAGGAGGAGGGGGGGGTCGTGTGGCAGAACAAAGAACTGCATCAACGTAACACTTTCGGAGGTCCGTGCGAACTCCTCGGATCGGTGCTGGACCCCCTCCCCGGCGCGCTCCGGGGGGGCCCGGCGCCGGTCCAAGAAATCCGCGCGGACCTCCGACCAAAGGATGTTTGTGCCGTGCTTCCCGGTTTGAACGCGGCTCCCAAGCGCGGGTCAGCCATGGCTGGCTGACCGACCCCCGCTTGCGCCGACTCCCAGCATGTGCGCACGCACTGTCTAGAGCCCCTCGGCCCCCCCGCCGCCAGCCTCGGCCACGCCCTCGCGGGGGTACAGCCGCAGGCAGTGCTGCCTCGCAGCCTCGGAGCAGCCGCTCAGCGAAGACACATACTCCAGCTGGAAGCAGGCCTCCTGAGGAAACAGCATTTGCTATCTTCGGGGATGGACACACCTCCCTTGAGCAAAACGTGGTTTAGTGAAAACGACTTCGGGCCCAAACCTGGCGGGCGCAAGCCTGGAAAGTAACGGCCACGGCGCCCTCTCGAAAACCGAAAACAGACAATTCACTAATCGGCGTGTCACTGCTGGGGGTTTTGTCCACCCCCGATATCTTGTCTGCTGAATGACCGCGGAGCCGGGCCGGAGCACCGACACGCGAGGGCGCCGAGAGAGCTGACGACGAGGAAGGGGGAAGAAGGAAAGGGAAGAGCGGGAGCGGAGGAGGAGGAGGAGGAGGAGGAGGAGGAGGAGGAAAGGGAGGAGGAGGAGGAGGAGGAGGAGGAGGAGGAGGAGGGGAGGAGGGGAGGAGGAGGAGGAGAGGAGGGGAGGAGGAGGAGGAGGAAGGGGGGAGGAGAGGAGGCGGAGGAGGAGGAGGAGTGATGAGGAGGAGGGAGGAGGAGGAGAGGAGGAGGGAGGAGGAGGAGGATGAGGAGCAGGAGGAGGAGGAGAGCAGGAGGAGGAGGAGGAGGAGGAGGAGGAGCAGGACGAGAGTAGGAGACGGGAGGGATGAAATACCAAGGCTCAGGGGCGCTCTTCGCGGGACACCTGTGCTGCGCGCAGACATCGCCCGAGGTTCGGCGTACCAGCAAATTGTGCGATCGGAGGCGCGCGATCTCGATCCTTGGAAACACGTCTATGTCTTCTGCGTGTAGTCTTCGCGAGGCGCCCATCGCAAACCGGCAGCCCACGCACAAGATCATCCCATCTCCCTCCCCCTTCCGCTCTCCTTGCTCGTGACTCTGGTGGATCTTGCACTCATCAGTTTCACCCTCTCCCCCTCCATTCCCTCCCCCTCCCCCTCCCCCCACCCACCCTCCACCCCGGTCCCGCTCACGCTCCCCCTCCCCATACCTGGGACGCAGAAGGACATACACTGTGCGCCCCCCTCGGAGGCGCCCGTCCGGACCGAGAATATCATAAAACCAGATTCTGGTACACCGTCTCCCGAGCGGCATGGCCAGAAAGCGCCCGCCCCGGAGCTTGTGCTCGAAAAGCTCCCGGCGCGCGCGTCGCCCCCTTGTGTAGGGGGGGGGGGGCGACGCAAGTATCAGTACAGGGCAGTGTTGAATACATAGGATTCAAAAATGTGAGATGTTTGCATGATTAATTTATGAACGAATGTATGTATGAACTCATCGTTGTTTTTAATACTAATTCCCCGCATGTTTCATACATGATCCGCACGCGGAGCATGTATTAAAAACGGCACTGTATGTTGGTGCGGCGCCGATCCCACTCCCCCCGCCCACCCTCCGCCCCCCCCGCCCTCAGGCCGAGGGAGGACGGCGCTCGAGGAGCGGGAGCAGGAGGAGGAGGAGGAGGAGGAGGAGGAGCAGGACGAGGAGGAGGAGGAGGACGAGGAGGAGGAGGAGGAGGAGGAGGAGGAGGAGGAGGAGGAGGAGGAGGAGGAGGAGGAGGAGCACGAGGCTGGGCAGACGGGGGGGGAAGCCACTGCCCGCGGAAGGCCAGGAGCACGGCGTGGAAGGAGCGCCGCCGAGGAGGGCAGCGAGCGGACGGCACACGGCGGTGCGTCGGGCATCGGACAGCGGCCCGCTCCATGCAACGCGTGGGTGCCGCAGGGTAGGGCCGAAGCGCAGGGAGGGGAGGAGGAGAAGGAGGCTCACAGGGAGGAGGAGGCGGAGGAGGAGGAGGAAGACGACGACGACGACAAAGCCGACCGATGTCGTCGTCGTCGTCGTCGTCGTCGTCGTCGTCGTCGTCGTCGTCGACGACGTCGTCGTCGTTGTCGCTGTCGTCGTCGTCGTCGTCGTCGTCGTCGTCGTCGTCGTAGTCGTCGTCGCCGTAGCCGTCGCCGACGCCGAAGCCGTCGCCGCCGCCGTCGCCGTCGCCGTCGCCGTCGCCGTCGTCGTCGCCGTCGTCGTCGTCGCCGTTGTCGTCGTCGTCGTCGTCGTCGTCGTCGCCGTCGCCGTCGTCGTCGTCGTAGTCGTCGCCGTTGCCGACGCCGTCGCCGGCGTCGCCGTCGCCGTCGCCGTCGTCGTCGTCGTCGCCGTCCGCGCCCGAAGGCGGCCAAGGGCCGCCGAAGGGCCGCCCAGAGCCCGCCGAAGGGCCGCCCCAAGGGCCGCCCAAGGGCCGCCCAAGGGCCGCCGAGGTGCCGCCCAGAGCCCGCCGAGGAGGAGGAGGCGGCGGGCGCGGCAGCGGCAGCACGCAGCGGGGGAGGGGCCCCTCCTGCCGAGCAGCGGCCGGCGTGCGGGGGGTCGCGGCGCCCTCGGGGCTCTTGGCCGGGTCTGGGGCGCACAGCATGGCCTCCGGACGGAGGGAGGGAGGGAGAGAATCGGTAGCCCCAGACAGTGTGGTGACCACACCGCGGGGTGAGTCAGTGGGGACTCGGGGTCGCCGCACGGTGTTGGGACTCGGGTCTTTCTCCGAAGACGTCTCGGGCTTCCGGGCCTCCGAGGTCCCAAGACCGTGCGGTGACGGACCGCCTGGTGAGGTCTCTTGGGATTTCGAGCTCGCCGCGCGGTCCGTCACCGCACGGTTTGGGGACTCCCGAGAGAAGCAGGAGGAGAACGGGGAGGCAGGGTGGAGGGCGAGAGGAGGAGGAGGAGGAGGAGGAGGAGGAGAAGGAGGAGAAGGAGGAGGAGAAGGAGGAGGAGGAGGAGGAGGATGCGGCGTGCACCCGCGCGGCGGGGACGCGCACTCGAAACACTACACTCCAGCAGCGGTTGGCCAGAGAGGTGAGAGTCGTCATCAGGTCTTCGGATCACGAGAAAGCAGCCGAGAGAAATCTGATACGTTGCCCTCCTTCCCCCCGCCCCCGTCTGCGCAGATGTTCCTTCACCTCTTCCTCCAGCTCGTGCACGGCGCTAGATCGGCGCAGCTGCCCTGGACTGGGAATACGGGGTGCACTGGGGAGGGTGGGGAAGACATGCCGGACGGGCGAAGGATTTCCGTGAGCAACGGCACCGCCAGGAGCGCTCTGGGAATGGTGGCGGACTATGCGAGGTTGTTCATGTTGCTACTTTGAACTGCGCCCCGCGCCCATGCTGCGAAGTAAATCGTCCCCCCTCCTATTCCGCCTCCTCCTCCTCCTCCTCCGCCTCCTCCTCCTCCTCCTCCTCCTCCTCTTCATCCTCTCTCTCCTCCTCGCACCAGGTTCAGGCTTGCGCGACGCGTTCTTCGCCTCCTCCTCCTCTTCCTCCTTCTTCCTCCTCCTCCTCCTCCTCCTCCTGTTCCCCCTCCCCCTCTCCTCGAGCGTGCCCGCCGCAGGCCACCCCCGCGGCGCGGGCCGCGCCCCTGCGCGCCCCCCCTGCGGTGCGCGGCACGCCTCCGCGCGCCCCCCCCGCGCCGCCGAGAGGCCCTCGAGGAGGGACACGCACCCCCCCCCAGGGCCCGGGCCGCGGGTCGGGCCGCGGGGCGGGCGCTCGGCACTTCTGATTCGCGGGTCGAGAGCGAGCCTCTTCCGGTCGAAGCTAAGCGGGCCGCGCACAGCTTTAATTAACAGAGGAAGGAAAACAGAAGGCGGGGCCTCACGTCAAGGCCAACGGGCACTCGGCACAGACGAGCGACGGAAAGCAGCGGGTCTTGCGCGGGGTGGCATACGTTGGAGGGCGGCGTGCAGAGGTCAAGAAGTCCACCCCCAGAAGGACCACCCCGACACGCGAGAGGTCGGTTGACGAACGCGCCCAAAGAGGGACTCAAGCAGGGCAGAGCGGTTTCGTAACCGCCCAGGGCCGTTCAGTGAGCGCCGATTGTCGGGTCCAGGTGGTTGTTCTTCCCTATGGGACCTGCGCTATGGTTTTCCACCCAACACAGGCAAGCGAGAAGACATGATAAAATACACCATGTGGGACCTGCTCTAGGACAGAAACAGACCGTGGACGAATCCGCCCTGTCTCCGGTCCTGTACCGCGCCGAACGCAACGGCCGCCCTGCTGTAGACGCATCCACCCCGAATGCGCCTAAACACGCAACCGCGCCCATGGTGTCCATAGGCGCTTGTGGCTAGAAAGTGAGAACGGTATGTGGCACATGCCCCAGATGTTCGCCTTCCAGAAGCAGGTAGGCTTGGCCCTCCCAGGTGTACGGTCAGGAGCTTCTGCTTAGCGTGTCGCGGCGGCAGCCCTGGCGACACGCTACGCCTTGCGAGCGGCGGATAGCGCGTCGCTCCGCTCCGCGGGGCGGGAGGCTGGGAAGAACTCAAGACGTGAGCACGTGGTGACTGCCAGAACTGGCGGCGCGACACACTGAGCCACAGTTCCTGACCGCAGCGACCTCGCGCGGAGGCCTACGCATGCTGCCAGCGCACACCGCCACATTGGAAACGAGGGCACCTACGCACGACCTTACGCGGGACGCTCACGCGCCGGCGTCGGTGAAGACAACCTCTTTTCCTGCGTCGCTCAGATCATCCTCGCGCCCCCGCGGGGGCCCACGCTCCCCCTCCTCCTCAGAGGCGAAGGATAACATCGGACAAGGATAAATAATCGAGCCTGCAGGAAGGGCGGCGGCGGGCCTGGAGGAAGCATCGGGCACCGCGGCCCCTCCAGAGCCCTCCAGAACGCTCTGATCGACGAAAGAAAACTATGCACATACACCGATTCTGGCCAGGCCCATCCCGAGCCCAGGATCGGTGCATATAGCCCCCCTGCCTCGTCCAGGAAAGTGGAAGCACCGATCCTGGGTCCAGGATGGGCCAGGCCAGGATCGGTGCGTGTGCATAGTTCGCCCGATCTGAGAGCGTTCCGGAACGCTCCCGGATCGATTCCTCCTCATCCCGCGCCTACCTTGCCCCGCCGCCCCTCCCCCCGCGCGGGCGGCGGCCAGCGTGGCGCCCGCCAGGCGGGGCGGGGGCGACTCCCAGGCGGCGGCCGACTGGAGCAGCGTGCGCGGGGGCTTCTGCACGCCGTCCTGCGCGCGCGCAGGGGGCCGAGAGAGGGACCCCACACCACAAGATGGTTGGGAAAAAGTAACGGACCTTTCATCTTGTTTATAAACATACAGATCAACATTACATATATCAAAAAATATGATTACGAATAACAACGACGACAACAACACCAACAACAACACCAACAATGACAGCAACACCAAACTTACTAATATTACTAACAATGATAATAATACCTATACGACCACCCTTCGGGTGATAAGGAGGTTCGGGGGGGGAGGAACCAACGTCTCACTCGATCGGTCTCACTATCGATCTCACTATCGATCTCAGTATCGGTCTCGCTCGATCGATCTCCCTCGATCGATCTCACAATCGATCTCACTCGATCTATCTCACAATTGATTGACTATCGATCTCACAATCGATCTCACAATCGATCTCACAATCGATATCACATTCGGTCTCACTATCGATTTCACTATCGATATCACAACCGCTCTCACAATCAACGTCATCATCATCATCACAACAACATCAACATCAACATCATCATCACCAACATCATCATAATCGGGACACCGTCCTCATCATCAACACCAACATCATCATCATCATCGGTCATCAACATCATCGGGACACCACCATCATCATCATCATCACCATCATCACAATCATCATCATCAACATCATCATCAGCAGCATCGGGACACAGTCATCGTCATCATCATCATCAGCAGCATCATCATCGGGACACCATCATGATCACCATCGTTAGCATCATCATCATCATCGGAACACCATCATCATCATCGCATCCTCATCATCGACATCATCATCATCATCAGCATCATCAACATCATCATCAGCATCATCATCGTCGTCATCATCGGGGCACCATCATCATTAACAACATCAGCATCAACATCATCATCATCATCATCATCCATCGGGACGCCATCATCATCAACATCATCACAATCACCATCAGAATAATCATCATCATCGGGACGCCATAATCATCATCAACCTCATCATCATCAACATCATCATCGGGGCACCATCATAATCAGCATCATGAACATCAACATCATCATACTCATCACCATCGGGACACCATCATCGTCATCATCATGATCATCAACATAATCATCATGATCATCATCATCCTCATCATCGGGACACCATCAGCATCATCATCATCATCATCATCATCATCGTCATCATCATCATCACATCATCATCATCATCATCATCATCATCGGGACACCATCATCATCATATCATCATCATCATCATCATCATCATCGTCCTCATCATCATCAGCAGCATCACCATCATCATCATCGACGTCATCATCATCATCATCAGCAGCATCATCATCATCATCAGCATCATCATCATCATCATCATCATCATCATCATCATCATCATCATCATCATCATCATCATCATCATCATCATCATCATCATCATCATCATCGCGGGACACCGCGGGACACCGGCGGGACACCGCGGGGCACCGCGGGACACCGCGGGACTTTCGCGGGACACCGGCGGGACACCGCGGGCCACCGGCCGCCCGGAAGGGAATCATTTGGTCCGGCCGCGCCTCAGCCACACGGGACTTTCGCGGGACACCGGCGGGACACCGCGGGCCACCGGCCGCCCGGAAGGGAGACATTTGGTCCGGCCGCGCCTCAGCCACAGGAGACTTTCTCTCGCCCGCCCACGCAGCTTCGCCTCGCCCGCACGCACGGCACGCACGAACACGAAACCGAAATCGATTTCCCGGTAGGAGGGCTCTCCGTTCCACTTCGATCTCACCCCCTCACCTCCGATTGGTAATGCTAATAAGTGTTATTATAATAAAATACGAATCATAAGAATACGCATTAAAAGAGAATATCAAAAGTACTTATCCTAATAATAATGATAATACTAAAAATGCGAATAATAATCATAAAATACTAATAACACGAATACGAACAATAATAATAACACTAGTAATAATAATGATACTCATATAATAACAGTATTAATGATATTAATAATAAGAATAATCATCATAATAATACTGATAATAATAATAGCTGTGAGAAGAAGAAGAAGAATGTGGACTACATACAGATATGAACATATACAAATTCATAGGTATATATACGTAAAACATAAATACATATAGCTATTTACGAAGGAAGAGCGACGCTCTGGGAGGCGCTCCGCCCGGGAGGCGCTCCACCAGGAGGGGGACCCAGAGCACGCTCCAAGAGAGGCGCTCCGGGAGAGCCGCGCCCGGAGGCGCTCCGGGAGCCGCTCTCCAGGAGGCGCACGCGGAGCAGAGGCGAGCGAGGAGGTAGCTCCTCCTCCTCCTCCTCCTCCTCCTCCTCCTCCTCCTCCTCCTCCCTCCTCCTCCTCTCCACCTCCTGCTCCACCTCCTGCTCCTGCTCCTGCTCCTGCTCCTGCTCCTGCTCCTGCTCCTCCTCCTCCTCCTCCACCTCCTCCTCCTCCTCCTCCTCCTCCTCATTCTGCTCCTCCTCCTTCTCCTCCTCCTCCTCCTGGAGGGAGAGAGGAGCCCTCAAGAGGCAGCAGGGAGGACGGCCAAAGAAGCCCTCGGGAAGGCCCGTAGAGAGGCCTCTGCAGTGGAGGCCAGTCCACAAGAAACGTTCCATAAGAAACCCAGCCCTGAGACCCCAGGACGTCCATTGATTTCTGGTGTGGGAACGTCAGGCTCCCCATCGCAAGACCATTGAAACCCAAGAAACCCAGGGCACCCTGGAGGCGAGCAGGGAGATTCTTGGCATGGGTCCAATATGTAAGAGAAGCTCGGGGAAGCCAATCCCCCGGGCCCCCAGGAACCCGTGCAACAGATGCGGAGGAAGAGGAGGACGAGTCAGCAACAACTCTGCGCGCAGGCAGCATGATGGGAAGCGGAAAGCCACACAGACGAAATCGGCAGCCGCCAATCTCATCTTCTGGGGGTCGGCGGAATGGCATGCGCAAGCCTCTCGAGTAAGGGAGGAGGCAGGAGGGGTGCGGAAGAAAGGAGCCAGGGAGGAGGGAGGAGAGGCGAATGAGGAGGGAGGGGGGTGGGCAAGGAGGGAGGAGAGAGGAGGCAAGAGGCAGCCAGGGGAGGCAGGAGGCGGGGAGGGAGGAAGCAGAGAAGACTCAGCCTCAGCCTCGTGTGACAAAGTCGGTAGCGCTGAGGCTTGGCGGCGCGCACAAAGGGGGTACGGGGAGGGGGGCAGGCTTCTTGGAGGGAGGCTGCCTCTTAGAAGGCGCCAACCCTGCACAAAGGCCCGCGGCTTCTGAGCAGCGGAGGTGCTTCTGAGAAGCATTCCCCCCTCCCCCTGCCCTGAGGTCGGGCGTGCCCTCCTACAAGCGGACTCTGGACGAAAAATAGAAGATTGCCGGAAAATGCTCAAACGTTGCCGAACAACTAATCAGAAAAATCGCCCCCTGACTGTTTTCACTATTTTGGAATGTTCCTCCCTTAGAGGGGCAAGCCCGAGCCGACCCATCGACCGAAAGAAGTATGTAGAAACATGAAGTAGGACGGCGTTGAAAATAGATCGGGTGTCCGCCCGCCCCCCTAAGAGGACGGAAAGGGTGAAGCCACTCGATCATTGAAGTAGGAAGGCGCCTAAAGTAGACTGGACTCTGGGAACTCAAGAATGGGGAAGCCAAAGAAGTACCGATACCGCTACTCCACGGACCTCTCCCGGGGCGCGTTCTGACCAGAAAGTCGAGGCGAATCCAGCGGTGGCGACGGGGGCCTCCAAGGAGGCCCAAAAAGAGGGAAAGCAGAGGGAAGGGCAGAGGTGTGGGTTAAAAAATATATACGTCCAACGACCGATGGGTACCCCCCGGAGGAGGAGATGACTAAACAAAAGTAAGCCGGATAAAGCGGGAGTAGGCCAGATTAAACGGAATTAAGCCAGATGAGCCCGGATTTCGGACCAGGGCAAAATCGGAACTTGACCCCCCAGGAGTTGCATCCGAACCACCCCCCAGCCTCCGGGGGCCCTCACCGGCCCAGCGGAGAAGGGCTCCCCAAATCTCCCTGAGGAGGTGGCCCGCTCCACCCGGGAGCCGCCTCTCGGTCCTTCGGCCGCCGGGGCCGGTACACAGCGGGCCCTGGGGCCACCAAAAGTAGACATCTTGGGCGCCGCGTAGTGGACAGGACAGGAAGTCTGCGTGCCGGCTCCGGTAGCCGGAGCGGTCCCCTGAGGGGCAGGCGCGCGCATGGCAATTAGAAAAATGCATCAAGTGAAACGCGTGCATGGAAGGCCGCTCACGCATCCAACGAATCTCTCCATCTCAGACGAGGTCGCCCTTAGATCGTTTGGCTTCCGTCCGGAACCACGGCGCCGCGCAGTGGAGGGGCGATAGCATCCGTAGCGGGGGGCACGCGACCGCCAAAGCACGGTCCCGGTCGAGCACTGCGCGGCCACACACGCCCCGCTGCCGATTGTCTCGCGCCGTGGGCGGTCGGAGCAGGGCGAGTTGATTGGCGGCGCGCACAAGGGGGGTGGAGGGAGGGGGGGAGGGCTTCTTAGAAGGAGGCTGCTTCTTAGAAGGCGCTGGCTGCTTCTTAGAAGGCGCTGGCCTTACATCTATACAGAGAAGGCCCGCGCCCTCTAAGAAGCAGGGGTGCTGCTAAGAAGCCCTCTCCCCCCTCTCCCCACCCCCCTCTGCGCGTGGGCGAGCTGAGGCGGCAGCAGCTCAAGCTCGGTTCCTGGACCCTGCCTGGGGTCCCAGCGCACCACCGCCCCGAGCTGCGCCCAGCCGTGGCGACGAGGGGCCCCCCCCCGAAGGCCAACTACCACTCGCCATCGCTCGGACGTCCATTTCCCGTGCATTTTTCGGTTTCGTGCGTGTGTCTTTTTTTGCTCGATGGTCCAGGATCGTCCTCGATGGTTCTCGCCGAAAAAAAATGCACACGTCCGAGCGATGCCAAGTCCTGAGGTCCCAACGCACCACCTCCCCGAGCTGCGCCCAGCCGTGGCGACGAGGGGCCCCCCCGAAGGCCAACCACCAATGTCTCAGAACGAGGGCCTGACACCGCAGGGTAAAAGTTGGGAACTTTGAAGACTGTGGGTGCGCATCCAGCACTCGTATAAACCCCTTGAGGACCAACTTGGCTTCCTCTCTTGAGACTGTCGCAAACTTTCAAGACGAGGGTGCGCGGTGCCGAGGCGAGTGCAACCTTTTGAAAACTACCGCTCTCCATCTGGCAGGCTGGTGCGAGCTTCCCCCTGCTCTGACTCTGGGCCCTGACGTGAAACATTACATCACCGTGAGCAATCACGACTGCAGGCCCCCAACATCCTCCGCGGCAGTCTTCGGGCCAGATCGAGATGTGACGGTCTCAGGGCCTGACATGAGCCGAAAACGCCCGGTGCGAAACAGATGCGACGCCAGAACCTTGCGCCGTGGGCTCTGCTTCCTCTGTGGGCCTCAATGATGCTTGTCGTCTGGCTTTCGGGTCATGAGTCGGGTCCCAGGCGGCCGTCCGGGACGATCCGGGCACCCCTGGAACGCTCTCGGCGAGGCGCAGCTGCTGGAACGCATCCCGAGGCTGGAAGCCCCCAGCGAGAACCGAAAGAACATCGAAAATCTCGAAACTCGAGCCCGAAACTTCCCTCGAAACGAGCGTTCCGCCTCGAACGCCCGCGCTGGCGTCGCCGCCGCCGTTGCGCGGCGGCGCAGGCATGCCGCGCGGCCACGGGGGCCAGAGGCGCCGCCGACGGAGCCCTGCGCCGTCCGCGGTCCTTGCCGTCGTCGGCCGCGGCGTCGCGAGCCACCCACGGCGCAGCGCGCGGGGTGCTGAGCCTGCCGCCGCGGCGGGTCTTCCCGGCATCGAGGCGGGCGAGGACAGGGAGGCGCAGAGAAGCTGGACACCACGAGCGGCGAACCTGTTTGTCCGCATCCGCGCCCTCGCTGTCTGGCTTAGGGGGTGCGATC